TATACTATACTATACTATACTATACTATACTATACTATACTATACTATACTATACTATACTATACTATACTATACTATAATATAATATATTCTCAAATAATATAATATTCTCAAATAATTCTCAAATTGTATCTCTGGCCTTAATATGGTAAATAGGAAAGCCAATTAGATTTGCATAAGCCTGGGAAGCAGGAAAGTTTTACAGATCAGATCATACTTTTGCACTATTAAAGAGCAGGCCGGGTAGGTGGGGCTCGTCATCCATGGAAGGCAGCCCATCTAGGAGAAGGAAAACTCCGATTTCAAACCTCCACTGCCTTGTGGCTATATCCACTCATGGATAAGGCTTCAGGAGTTAACCTAGAGGCAAAATCCAGAGCTGGAGTCCCGAAGGCAGCTCGTGTCATTCTGTCAACTCCTGCGACATTGCTGGAACCAGTTGTATTGGCTCTTGCCTTTCCATTGGACCATTTCAGCAATGTGGAGAGGGGGGATCTGCTGCTTGGGTAACAGCCTATCCTCCATATTACCTTACCCGGGCTTCATGCTCTGGAGAGGACACTCCTCGATTCACAGCATTTTACCATAGTCTCTCGAGACTGAAGGATGCCTATGTAATATAATATGGGGAATTTTGCTAGAATTTTAAGTGGGATTATAGCAAAGTAGATGTGTTGCCAACCAATAAAAGATCAACATATGTAATAACTTGGAGTCTATGGCTTTTAGTAAAGATAATTTTCTCATGCCATTTTTAAAGCTCTGTGCACACAGTGATAATTTCACAGGTTAACAAGAGGTGGCAAAAAGGAAGCATGGATGACTTGTAGTTCTTTTCTGACATGACTACTAGCTGCAAGACCCATGAGCTCCAGACTGGTAGGGTCTCATTTATGTGTTCAGAAGGAAGCAGGGAAATGATCACCAGCAACCTGTGATCTATGGAGTGCACCAAAAGACAAGGTGCATGTGTGTGTGTACATTCACACACGCACTCACACGCACACGCCATGTGGAACACAGATTGATTCAGGGAAACAATACATCACTTCTTGTTCTTTCACTTCATTCTCAAAGACCTTTCAAAGACTCTTTGTGTCACTATAAACTCGTGTTGGCCTGATCTAGCTAGTTCCTGGGACAATGTTCTGCTGCTTGGATCCTCCAGGATCCACAGTCATCACCCAAAATGCCACCAAAAAAACCTCAGGAAAATGCTGGAAGTCCGATTCCTTTTTTTTTTTAAGTGTATTTGTGGGCCTTGAACAGTGTGACCTAGTGTTACCTATGTATAACATGCTTCCTGGAGCAGTAATTCATCTTCCCCAACCCCCGAGAAAAGAGAGTGCCAAATGAGGACTCAGAAGGGCCACTGAAAGAATCTTGGGGGTGGCATGAAGTTCTAGGGCTGAACTTTATTCACCCCACACCAAACACAGCTGACTGCAAGAAGTCCTGCAGGGAGGAGAGCCAAACTACATACATATGTATCTCCCATTAAGGAACACGTCTCCCCTTTTTGGTAAATCCAGTGACTGAGCAGTGGTAAGGCCTGGGTACCATGTCTACCAATCTGGAAAGATCCACCCTCTGAGACATAACCCTCCTCAAGGGTTATTTCCTGGGCAGTTGAAATGGTGTCCATCAACAAGTTGACTCGTATCAAATAATCCCTTTTTTGCTCTCATATTCCCTTCACTCAGAAACCCTAGCTAGTACAGCCAGTATTCAAACTGGCTGGGGATTCTGGGCATTATAGTCTGAAAAACTAATGGTTCCTTTGTTTTATTTCACCAGAAAAGTTATTGTTCCCTTCCCCAATTTGTAAACAGTTTTGAAAAATGCTTCCAAGCTCTGTATAGAATAAATACCTATATTAGACAGGACAGGTATCCCTTTCTTTGTTCTGTCTGTCTGTCTGGGTAGACATAATAATTGAGGCAAAGAGGAAGTCACAAAGGAAGCAAAACCAGGGAGCTGGACAGGGGACAGACTGGATTTGTCATAGTTTTGAAAAATGCTTCCAAGCTCTGTATAGAATAAATACCTATATTAGACAGGACAGATATCCCTTCCTTTGTTCTGTCTATCTGTCTGTCTGGGTAGACATAATAATTGGCCAATCATAGCTACATTAAAATCTTTAATTTCTCAGTTGTTTTCTCTAGGCTGCTAACCTTTCACCACAGAGAAACAAACAAAAACTTTAAAACAAAGCAAGAAATTCATTCTACAAACAACAGGTATGCCTAAGGTTGCCATGACTGGTTAAAAACAAGCAAAAAACAAGCAATTTTCAAATGAAATTGGGGGGAAATCTGGGAAGATCGTCTGGGTTATGTACCCAAACATGCTCATGCCCCTGGGTTTTATTAAAAATCACCTCATTTACTTCTCATAGTTCTGGATCTTATGCATTTTCTCAAACTGATCTCTAGCTTTCCTAATATAAGCACTACCAAGAGACTCCCAAATAAGCAGACTCTTCCTCTGTGTACAAAAGATTCATATTAATATTTTTAGAACTGCTGGAATTTTAGAACTGGTAGAAAGGGATCATCGAATTTAGCCCCTGTCAAAGAGGCACAGTGGAGAGGCAATTTCCCAACCTCTGGGTAAGCATCCAGACGCTTAAACCACTGAGCCATCCAACAGTTACTTACTAATGCCAAGAACACACTCCCATTATTTTTGGTTTCTCTGTTTTCAAAAGAGAGAGACTGCATTTGTTTCTCTACACCAGCATCCCTCTGTCTAACCTTTTGAAAAAATATTAGGCTCCAGTAGACTATCATAAGACGAAAAGAAAATGAATATGCATTTAACTGGATGCATTGTTCTCCATCTAAACAGAGTTATCTAGACATCATTTGTGTATTAACCTCCAGCCGCAGAAGAGTTCAGTGAAACTCAGAAATCTGCATTCCACATACATAACACTGGTCAGTCTCAGCCTCACAGTCCTTGTGGACTAGCTTCGACTTCATCATCATTGTAAAGAACAAAGAATAAGCATTATAATCTCATTTTTCTTTTTAACACCCCCCCTTACATCAAGAAACAGGATCATACAACATCGTTGCAACATCAGACGTTTTATCTTTTGGCAACCTGGCATTATGAGCATTAGTGCTGCCTAACAGCACTGGGGAGGTGGGGTTGGGTGTAGAAGCTGCAGGAGATGGGTTAGAAATGAATACCTTTCAGAACCAGCGGTTCCTTGCCTTCTCGCTTGAGAGACTCCAGCACTACGTGCAAGGGCTGTGAAGGTATTACTCTGCTGGGCTCATTGGTATTCTCATCATAAACCACAATTTCTTTGGAAAAGATCCTCTTGAAGGAGTCCTTGCCTTCCCGGCAAGAGATCAAGTCCAAGACTGTAATCTTGCCCTGCTGAAGCCTCCTCCTGCTGATCTTATCGGAGCAGTTGATGTGCACAGCCCCTTGGATGTGGCTTTTGTTGTACTCCATAAAGGGCCGGCAGTCAATGATCACGGGCCCTTGGTGGCTTTTGGTGCATTTGGTCATCTTTTTAGCCAAGTCATTGGGGTAGATGGTTTTGATGCTTGCCAGGGGCTTGGTTGGCCCCGAGACGGGGCTCCCCACACCGCTCGACGGATTCACAGTGCCAGAGTTCTCATTGTTGTTGACCATTTGGCTCGCAGGGCAAGCGGGCGAGGTTCCTACGTTGGCAGAGGCGCTGCTGGTGCTGGCTTGCGTCGGGGCCTGAGAGTCTTTGTCGTAGGTTGCCACAGTGCAGCAACTGGCGCTGCTGCATCCACAACTCAAGGAGCGAGCAGAGCCGTTGGATGAGGGCATATACGTGAGATTAGCAGCCTTGAGGGACACGACCGCGGCGCCGAGGAGACTCGAGGGGCTCTCGCTGACGGAAGATGCAGATTCAAGGTAGCTGGCGTCTAAGCAAAGGTTGAGATCCTGAGGTCTGATGGGCCTGGAGAGAGCCACTACTACCCTGTCGTCTAGTGGAGATGGAGGCATGAGGAGGCTGAGGATGGCAAGTCAAAAGGAATTCAAGCTCTCTCTGTGTCAGAAACAGCAACAACAACAAAAAGAGGAAATCATCATCCTGACCCTCATGACACATAAGGCTTCCTCTTTCTACCTGCACAGCAATGCCTTAAACCAGACCTGGAGAAGGTGTGACACCCCCACCCCCAGTGACTGTGAAACTGCAAATCCCATCAGCCCTCAGCCACTGTGAGAGTCACTAGGAATTCTGGGAGCGGTCTTTCATTCACAGGCTCCAGGCACCACACTGATGGCTACAGGTTTCAATCACAGTCCAAGAGGCTTTTAGCATGAAGCTGAAATTTGTTACTCATTATCCTTCTGACAAGGTATTGCAAGCTATCACCATTTATTACTGTCGATTATTCTTACTAGACTTTATTGCCTAAAATTCAATAGTACGTAACAGCTACTATTGAATCTCATTGAATCTGTGGGGATCTGGTGAGTTGACTCCTTCATAAACTCCATTGATTCCATGGTGATTAACTACCAGATTTCAGCCATTATTTTGTTATTGTTATTTATTATTTCAGTGCATACTGCCCCATATTGTGCACAATTTACAACACATCAAAAACACATATGAATAAAACACGTACCGAATAATTAATACTTCAATAAAATCATGTCTCTAGCTAAAACCTACCTTTCAGTAAAAACATCTGCTATTTAGTTATTATAATTATTAGCTATTACCATTTTGCATAAAGAAGGGCACTGCAACTGCAAGACTGTCCTCAACTTGGATGAGCCAAGAAAAGTTTACATGAGATAAAACTTTATTAGCCATTATAATTCAGAAACTATATTACTCGCTCTTACCCATTGCCATTTATTAGTATTATTATTTATCTTTGTTCATTATTAGAATATATTTGTTGCTGTTTAGTCGTTAAGTCGTATGTGACAGGGTGCTTGGCCCTCCCCTGAACTAGAAGGGCAAAATAGTAAATCTTATGTAACCAAGTTATGCAAAAAAAAGGGAGAGCAAATTTTAATGGGCATAATGTATATACGTTGCAGAATTCATCATTTGCTGAGACAGAAGTTTGACGTATGTATATTTTTCTTAAAGAACAAAGTGCAGGCCTGCTAGGAAATTGAATCCAAACAATACCCATCAAACGGAGGCAAAACACCAAGAAGTCCCCAGAGGAGGTAGCCTCGGAGGACTCCAGAAAGGGAGGCCAGTTCTCTTTTGCCTGGGAGTTGGCCACAGAAAAGGCTCTCCCTTAGCAGGCTTGTTCTGTTCTTGGCCAATGAAGGCTTCAAAACGTACCCCTGTGACATTAACAGTTCACTGAAATGCACTACAGGCAAACCTGGGCTGAGAGAATGGGCCACCTTTCCCCTAGCAAGTGGTTTTCAAAAGAGTCTCTTTGGTTTTTTGTGTTTTTTTTAAACACAAACCTCAGAAAGGTCTGGCCAGTAATCTGAAGGCATACTGAAAAGGAAGAGAGAGAAGTAACAGAGAGTATCATCTCTTCAGAGCAAAACGGCACGGTGTTCCAATGCAAAAAGTAGTTACAGCTCTGGAATATCCAAACCTGAAGACAGCAAGCTCCCCTTCTGCCATTTATACTTTAAAAAAAATCATCCTCCACATCTTGTCAGGATGATATTATTCTTCCCCACTCCTACAAACAGAGGTCCCATCCACTCCTCACCCCTACCCAATATCCAACTCACTCACTCTCTCTTTAACTCTCTCTCGCTCCCTCTCCATATATATAATGGCACCATTTTAGTGACCCATTGCATTGATATCTGGCCTAGTCCAAGGGAGGCCCGTCAGATGACATGAGGTGCTTGGGCTGGGATTCAAGGTAGGCATCACCTACTCAGTGCATTCCTTAAACCCTAAGCAATCCCCACAAATCCAATTCCCATGAACTCCAAGGGACCTGTATCCCATTGAACTTGCTGAGGGTCAGGCTGACATATCCAGCCAGATCGCACGCAAAAATGAACCACACTTTTCACTCTACAACACCCCTCTCCAGAATATGCAGTTCCTTCAATTTAAAACAGAAGAGCGCTGAATATTTACCCTGTTCAAGGGTCTAGATTGGGTTTTTTTCAGCGACTTCCATTCCTCCAAGATCAGCTTCCCCCCTTCCAACATGCAACTGCTTTTGTAATCCTACAGTATTTTTCCCCCTGCCCATTCAGAGGGGGGCCGTAATCCTCCTCCACGTGTGGGGTGAGGGGTGGTGGTGTCGGAAGTGCATTTGAAAGAGGAACTTGGATTTCCACAGTAAAGGGAGAGAGGAGAGGCGATCATGTTCTCCATACGAATTCTGGAGAGCGAGAGATGAAACCGGGAGGACCCCAGACAAGTTGTGTTCCGTTTCTTCATTTTTTTCCTGTCCTGTTTTTGGAAATCAAATGTGCATCTCTCTTTCTCCTTTCTCACGTTCCCGCGCACGGAAATGGGGAGCCAAGCCGAACAAGCGGAGGAGGCTGGTCGAGCCCTGCCTTCTTTTCCCCGTTAGACGTAAAAACAGGGAAAAAAGCGGTTACTTTTGTAACCCCACCACGCGTGCGAAGAAGCAGGGCGATCACAGAACCCCCTAATCCCGTCTTGAGAGGCCCCGGGAGAAGAACTACAGTACTTTCTGCCAGTGGCACACACGAAAACGGGGATATTTGGGGACGATCTGCGTCTCCGCAGCATCGGTCATATCCAGTATTTCCACAGCCAAGCCATGAAGTCAGACGGACGAGTTAAAAAAAGATCCCAGGCAAAAAAAGAGGTAACCTTCCTTCTCCACCACCCCCCTCCGCCCGGACCTCAACGACAAGGAAAGGCGTTTAAAACGAGCTTTGGCCGGGGGAGGAGGAGTCCTGAGAAATGATACA